TAGTCCTCTGGAATGTGACTGATAATAACAAGCTTTATGGTTTAATCCGATAGGTAATTCTCTCCTTGCTGTCACACCTTTTATTATATATTCAGTTGGGGGAATTTCATCCTCCAGACAAGTTTGTCTATTTTTATCATCTATTTGATGGGTAACGTATTGATATCATAAGAACTTACATGTTTCAATTTTATCTTTTTGGAGATAAATGACAAGGCAACGAGGAAAACGGCTTCCGGTCCAACTAATATTTCTTGTACGAAATTCACGAAAAGCCACATGCATTCAGTGTGTTGACTTCAGCGAAGTAAGTTGAAATATTTCTTAATAATATTTCACATCGAAACATGAGTTATTACCTAAAAGTCCCGTAAATAATCGAAATGAGTTTATTTCCTTTTATCGGAAAGGGCTGCATAATGACTTATTATTGTTTTAGTTCACCTCGATCATGTTTCAAGGGCCATTCATGTGTGTTTTACCTTCAAGAAGATGTAGTATGCTTTAGTACGATAGCGGAATATTCAGCTTTTTCGCCAGCACTCTCATACGAGAATACATGATATCCCAATCCAAGTAGATGCCGCGAAGGAACCGACTTTGTCCCCCTTGGACAGTAAACGCCGATCTCCCATGCAACACGCGACTGTTGTTGAAGGTGATCATATCCCCAGGGACCATTTTGTGCTCTATTTGATTGGCCGGTTCTCTTAACATCTTGCCCAGAGTAAGATAAGCTTCGTAAAGTTGAACAGTCTCCTCAGGGGTGGAGTTGAGCACGACAGAGTCTCGCACGTGGTTGTTGTAAGCAAAACGCACAATTTGGCCGTTCTTGTCCAACCTGAGACAAAAAGGTGACATAAAAGCAATCAGTTCTTGTATGTTGTCGGGTAAAGCGCTTGGCCATAGGGCCATAGGGAATCTTGAAAGTAATCCGGGATTGTTTTTAGTTATGCTTTACTTCGCTCTGTGATTGGTCCAGAAAATTCGCTCCACTTTTCCAACCAAACAGAAGCAAAACTAACACCAATCACGTCTTGGTCGTCCGCGTTTTCCCGCTCTTTATGTAGTAGGGATGTTTTACTTGGGTTTGGTTTTGCGATACTCACTCGAAAAACGCTTCATGAACTCTACCGTTGCATAGTCGACTTAAATGTCCTTGCTCAATCAACTGAGATCCCGCCGGGTTGTATAAAAGAAAGGCGTTAGCAAACGCGAGAAAACAATTCACAAGTTGTTTCACTTTTGCATCTGACTGGGAGAGAAAGTGGCTCTAACTTCGTAGACCAATTACAGAGAATAGAAGAGCAAATCAAAAACGCTTTCGGATTTACTTTGGACATTCAATTGAAGTTAACTCCACAATAATATTCATGAGTAGTAACTGACTTACTCAATCATGTGTCGAGAAAATTTGTAGTGAAAATCTCCAAACATGTCCTTTCCAATGTCAACAAACTGGATTCGCGTCTTTGT